ACCAGCTGCTTCAGAGGAAGGTGCAAGAAACCCCTCTAGTGGACAGTTATGGGATAACGTGTCCTCAGAGAGAGTTTCCTCCTACCTAATATTTAGAGCAGGGGTCGGCAACCTTTCAGAAGTGGTCGCTGAGTCTTCATTTATTCACTCTAATTTAAGGTTTCACGTGCCAGTAATACATTTTAACGTTTTTAGAAGGTCTCTTTCTATAAGTCTATAATATATAACTAAACTATTGTTGTATGTAAAGTAAATAAGGTTTTAAAAATGTTTAAGAAGCTTCATTTAAAATTAAATTAAAATGCAGAGCCCCCCGGACCGGTGGCTAGGATCCAGGCAGTGTGAGTGCCACTGAAAATCAGCTTGCATGCCACTTTTGGCACGCGTGCCATAGGTTTCCTACCCCTGATTTAGAGTTACCTTATGCCTTGAGGCTTGAAGGTCTTGGTCTCTTCCAAAGTTCTTATTTATTTTTGTAATAATTATTATAGCTTGTGATATTCTTGTTTTCCCTACAAATGCCCAATCTTTATTTGAATTTTGCTGAGCTCTTAGCCTCAGTTGTATATACTGGCAATGAGTTCCCACAATCTAGTTGTCTGTGATGTGGAACCGTAATTTCCTTTTACCAGTTTTGAATTTGCCATCTTCAATTTTATTTAATATCCCCTTGCTCTTGTCTTATTAGAGATGGTGTTGTATTAAGTTGTAGTAAGCGTAGATGAGAGGTGTTGTGGTAGTTGGGCCTACCAATGTACTCTAATTGTAAGCCCCACTGTAAAAGGTATGTAAAAGTTCATAAGATGTCACAACAACCTATAACAACAAATGGTGGTGGGAACAGGTGCAAGAAAACCAAACAGGAAAAACTGAATTAGTCCAAACAAAAAAGCCTGCTGAGATGGTTCAGGGACTATGCTGAAATCATGCTTGGTAAAAACAGAACATGTGGAATTGGAAATTAATGAATCAAAATTGTTGTGTTGGATATTAGGCCTAACTGGTGGACAAAATAATGAGGGAATAGGCTATTCCACTCATCACTCCCTTTTTGGGTCTTTAAAGAGACTTTGGGGGAAAATACAAAAAGAACAGATTGGGGCTAGTGGAACAAGCTTCACCATGATGGCTGCCACCCCCACCCTCTTCTGACACCCCGGACCTTGTTCGTCCTAATCCTGAGGGATGTCCTAACTAGATGGGGCCAGAGAGCGGGATCCAGATGACATCATCACCTCTACCAGCTCCAGCTAAATCCCAAACACCACCTGAGATGAAATGAGATTGGAGTTTAGCAACAGCTCCCACCCGTCGCAACTAGTTTCTTCTCTTTTCCCATCTCGGATACTCCCATCGAAGAGACTGTCAAACAAGGGGTTTTTCCTTCTAAAAACTCTCTCCAGCTAATGGGAAAGGGAACAAGGGATGTTGCTAAAATGAAAGCCTCATTCAATGCTTTACATTTTAAATCAGGGTTGGGCAAACTACGGCCCACGGGCCGGATCCAGCCCATCAGGGATTGTCCCCCGTGGTGCCGTGGGCCCCGCACAGCTCTCAGAAGCGGCCGGCTCCATGTCCCTGCGGCTCCTGGACGGAGGGGCAGAGGGCTTCGTGCATTGCCCTTGCCTCCAGGCACCGCCCCCCGCAGGTCCCATTGGCTGGGAACGGGGAACCGCGGCCAATGGGAGCTTCGGGGAAGGTATCTGGAGGTGCGGCAAGGGGCGCTTCCTGGAGCGGCGTGGGGCCGGGGACAGAGCAGGCATGCAGGGAGCCTGCCCCGGCCCCGGTGCGCGCCGCTGCCACCCCGGAGCCGCTTTAGGTAAGCAGCGCCGGGCCGGAGCCCGAACCCCGCCTGCACCCCCCAACTCCCTGCCCTAAGCCCCCTGCCTGCACCTCGCACCCCTCCTGCATCCCAGTCCCCTGTCCTGAGCTCCTTGCTTCACCCTGTACCCCTGTACACCCCAACACCCTGCACCCCTCCTGCACACCAACCCCCTTCCCTGAGCCCCCTCATACACCCTGCACCCCTCCTCTGCCCCAATCCCTTGCCCTGAGCCCCTTCCTGCACACCCCACACTCCCTCACGCACCCCTGCCCCGGCCCTGCTTACAATTTCCCCACCCAGATGTGGCCCTGGGCCCAAAAAGTTTGCCCACCCCTGTTTTAAATGCTTTCACTGTTTTTCCTTCTCCGTATCTTTAATAAAAGGTTTAAAAGATTTTTAATGCTGTGTTTGCAATGGTACTAAGCAGGCTGAGGTCTGTGTATACCAAACCCCAGACCTTGTTTAATGTTAGAAGGTGACTGGGTTATGTTAACACGTTTGGCCCATTTATTCCAGCTAAATTGATACAACTGAACACAGGATGGGTAGTTGCTCCTGGCTTTTCCACTGATGTGAAGCAACCTTGAGCAAGTCATTTCACCATTTATGCCACTGTTTTCCCCATCTGTAAAAGAAGATAAACGATCTTAACTGGATTGTGTTTGTGGCTAAATGAACATTTATAAAACACTTTGATACTACTATGATGAATGATACTATTGAGGCTCAAATGTAAGTTAATGTAAGGTGAGAGAGATGACTACAACATAATATCGATTAGGAAAAATTAACTTCATATACCAGAATAAGTGTCTGATAAACCAAGAAACTAACATTTAGAAAATAAAATGAAGGTAAATTGTCCTCTGATTTTGAGGAAAGAGGACTGGAATACCACTTTTTATGTAAGAAAAGTAACAACAATTTGTATTTATTTTTGCCTTAGCCACGAGCTGATCCCATTCCAATATGTAGTTTCTGTTTGGGGACTAAAGAATCAAATCGTGAAAAAAAACCAGAAGAACTGCTCTCCTGCGCAGACTGTGGCAGCAGCGGTAAGTTGGTTCTACTTGCAAATTGTACAAGAGCCATCTGTAAATCTATCTTTTTGGTCATTGTTCAGCATGTAAATTTCCTGTTACAGTCAAAAATAGTCTTAGGCCAAGCTTTTCAAACCCGGATAACTAAAAATTAGACTCTTAAATTCAGATTATTCATTTGGGCCTGAATTTCAAAGGAGCTGACTGACTTCAGCTCCCCCTGAAGTCAATGGGGGCAGAAGGTTTTGAAAATTGGGGCAAAAGCTTTGATTTTAGAAACCTAACTCTGGCATCCATGTTTCAAAATCTTATCCATCATCTCCAAGGCTATCGGTTTGATGCATTTCATAAGCACTGAGTTACAGTATTTAAAAGAAGTTGGGGTAGAGGATAGAGGAATTGGATATTATCTATTCTGCTGTAGATTTTACATAAAATCCTATTAATTTTTACAAAAAATATATGGATGAAAATACAAATAATATTTTTTTGTAAATGACTTGAAATATTAGCTAAGTGCCAGTATACCAGTTTCCCCCTGTTTATCCTGGGGTGGGGGGGAGAAGGAAACAATTTGTGGACCGATAATGCATGAAGATTAAAACATTTTTTTTAACATTAATTATATAAATACTGTATAGTCATGCATCCCTGCAGATCGGAGGAAGACTTTCAAAAGCACAAGGCCAGTTAGGCATCCAACTTGCATGGAAAGTTGATGTCCTTTGCACCTTTGAAAATCGTCCCCAGATGTCATATCATTTTAAGAAAAGTTGCTTAAACTGCTCATTCTCTCTCTCCCTCCTCTCAGTGTACAGTAACCCATCTTCCTCTTCTGACGAGCTCCCTGACAGCTTTCTCCTGGTCACCACACTTTCCTGTGCTGCTGGCTCCATGGCAGTTACTCTTCTTCCAAAGTTTGCGGCAAACTTACATTTGCATTCTACCTCTTAGCATAGAATTCATAATCTTTGCTTTGTATGTGTGAAATCCAGAGTACGAGTTTAAAAGTACTTTACCCTGAGTTAACTTAATCTTGTACGATATTGTGACAACTTAGTGTTTATAGCAAGTAATTTTGGAGCAGACCCATAAAGGACTTTTAGATAGCTGCTCATTTTCCCAAAGGACTTTTCCCATAGGGTTCTGTTCTGTCACCTCTTGGTCAACATGTATATGAGGTCATTAATAGAATTAATGAGGTTGGCTGGTCATTGGAGACATAAGTATGCAGATAATACTCAGCTCTTACTCTTCCTTTTTGTCTGGATCATTCCTTGCTCTGCCGCAGACTTCCTATGTAACCTTGGGCAAGTCACATATGCCTGGTCTACACTAGAAAATTAGGTTGGTTTAACTAAGTTGGTCAGAGATCTGAAAAACCACACCCTGAGCGCTGTAATTAAGCCATCCTAAATTCCCCCATTGACCTAGCTACCACCTCTTGGGGAGATGGATTACCTACGCTGATGAGAGAATCCTGTCCGTTAGCGCAGATAATATCTACACTGAAGCACTACAGTGTAGACAAACCCTTAATCTCTCTTTGACTTGGTTCCCCATCTGTAAAATGGGGATAATAGCACTTTCCTATCTTATAGGGTGTTGTGAGGATAAATGCATTAAAGATTGTGAGGCACTCAAATTACCACAGCGATGGCTCATATAAGTATCTGGATAAAACAGGACAGCATAGAATAGAATGTGGACTTCTATAACAAATGAAAATTTCCCTTTTCTTAATGCAGGATAAAGTTTTGCCATTATCCACTTCTGAACTGCTTTGTGTCACCTTGCGACAGACTTCCATAAGCATGTATCCTAATGTATTTACACCATACAGTAAAGCAAATTGCTAGATTTTCTATATTAGAAAGTTCATGTTTCCTTTAACTGTTTTATTTGTGACTTACCAAATTCTCTGTGCTTTCTGTCAACCCGAAATCTAATATTCTTTAGAAATGAACTGGATTGGTACTTAGTTTGTTACACTGGCTTTTTTGCAAACATGGTTTGCATTAATCAGGATGTAATAAATATCAGCTATTCTTCCATTATAAAACAATCTCTGGCAGTTCTAAGGAGCATTAGAATTGGAAGCCTTGACTTTCATGGATCAGCTTCCATTTGAATTAACACTGATACATTCTCTCTGCCTCATTAAGACTAAATTATCTTTAATTAGTCCTCAGATGTATTAGATATACAAAATGAAATGTTGAGACTGCCAATCAGATCACCAGATGGCTAAAGTTTAGTTACTGATGATTTATTAAAATAAAAACCAATCTCAGAGCACCATATAAACAGAAAAACTTGACTGTGTGGAGGTTCATTGTAATTGGACTTGTGATTTGCACATTGCAGCACGCCTACAAGCAGGTTCCTCTGTACAGGGGGTTAAAGAAACTATAGGAATAATCTGCATTCTTGCTGGACAGAGCAAGTCTATCTGTGAAACTGGGATCCAGGGGTTAAACTGCAATGCCTATTATCAGTGTGTGTTTTTCTGTGCTCCCCTGCATTCTTTGTTTCAGTCACGTGCTGTTTCATACGGGGGTTCTCTGACTCCAGCAAGAACTGAGGGAAACTTTAGGTATGCATGGGAGGGAGAAGACTCCTCAAAGGAAGGGGAACTGGCCCTGGGGTTTGTTGGGAACCAGGTTTCATCTCCATTTCCCAATCATGTAGGGCCTGGGTGCACTAAGGCGGCATATTCTCCCTCTGAAGTGACTGTAATCCTCCATCATCAGGAGGGTTCTTTCAAAGAGGCCATTCAGAGTTGAAATCTTGGGGGAGCTCTGTCCTGCTCACTGCTAGTCTTCTCCACCAGAGTACACATAGAACTAGCTAGGGCATCTGGTCACCCTGCTCCTGGCCTTGCTGATGCTCCTGTGCACTGTAGCAGGGATATTGTTCAGCTTTGGCAGTTTCCTAATAGCCCTTTGATCCTCATGCTGGCTGCCTCTCACCTGTGTAGAGGAAGGATCATATTGCTTTCGCTCCCCACTGCACAGCTGAGAAGTGAAAGGTGCCAAAGAGCTTTAGAGAGTGGAGCTAGTGTCATGCAGACTCATTTTTAATCAGTCAGTTTAGGACATGTTTGGAAAGAGGACAGAAGGAGATAGTTATGTTGGAGGTGGGAAAAAAAGGGGAAGAGAAGACGGCTGGAGGTTGAGGAGGCAGGGATCTAGAAAATGTGTACAAATCTAAGTTAGACTGAAAAGGCAAAGTGCAAGGAGTCAGAGGCATGGGGGTCTGGGGAGGAGGACAGAAGAACAAATCAAGAACAGTAGCGGACAGCGCAGAGGGAGAAAGGGAATTAGGGTCTGCAGGGCATGGGACAGATAACTTCAGTTAAGAGAATGGGGATTGGAGCCAAAAGTAAGGGGATAGGGAGGGCTGCCTCCCACTCTCTGCTCATTTACTGGCCCATGTCCCATTTTTTATTCCAAAATACTGGGAAAGGGTGGTTGGTTTGGAAGGAGGAATGAACAACTAAGAAACCTCCAGCTATTAAAACATTTTTACTTGCATCCTGACTGTGACAGGTGTCCTGATCCTTTCTGCTTAAAAATAAGGGCACTCTAGTGAATAATTCTCTTCCACGTAGAAGACCATTGGAAGCAAGTGATATGTCTGAATTGTGCAGCATAACAGGAATGGTGGAAATAGAAGACCACAAAATCTTGGAAACTCAGGATATTAACATTTCTGGATTAGCAGGATAATAATTGCTTGTCTGTTACATAATGCTTATTTTCATAGTTCTTTAAAAATAACTGATTTGTCACAAAATCACTCAATGGTAAACATAAATCTTTCAGATGTACAGATGAGGAAACTGAGGCAGATAGGTTGAGACAATTGCCATAGATGATAAAGAGGCAGAGATAGAGCCTAAATTAGAATTTGAGAATCAATTAAAATAAAAACTTCTGTCTAATGAATCTTCTCCTCCAGCACCTGATAGTTTAAAACTGGGTTTAAAACTGGGTTTCTCCAACTGCATTGCTACTTTGGAGCAAAGCTGCTTGAAGGATTATGGAGTGGTGAGGTCGTCCCTGAGGTAGCCACGTCCCTGCCTGTTGGCGGGTTTTAGAGATTAGGACAAAGATAGGAAATTCTTTTATGCTTTATTCAATCTAGCTTTTTTGTGATGGTTTAGCTCATCTTCAGGTAAAGAGATTTACAGCAATCTAACTTGGAGGAGGAGACAGCCTGGATCACATGGCCAGTCTCTCCTCTGAGAGTGTACTAATAAATATGTACGAGAGCATTCCTTGTGCATCTGTCTAATAATAGTGATGAGTTAGTATGGCTCCAAAGCTTCTTACCATCCTGACAATTTGTAGTCTGATGGCCTTGTTCATCAATATGGGGGGAGGGATAGCTCAGTGGTTTGAGCGTTGGCCTGCTAAACCCAGGATTGTGAGTTCAATCCTTGAGGGGGCCACTTAGGGATCTGGGGCAAAATCAGTACTTGGTCCTGCTAGTGAAGGCAGGGGGCTGGACTCGACCTTTCAAAGTCCCTTCCAGTTCTAGGAGATAGGATATCTCCATTAATAAAAAAAAAAAAATTAAAAAAAATGTGGGTACAGAATTGGCAAATTCTTCTTCCTTTAAAGATTTGCCTTGAAAGAATTAAGGGTGATTACTGGTGAGGTCATTGGCAATAATTGTTCAACCAATCCTGAAGAAGAATACCACTGCATTTGCTAAGGTGCCTGATCATTTGCATTCTTTGAAGGAGGAATTGACTATCTTAACCATGAGAACTGTGTCTCCTCACCAAATTTCACTCCCCATGAAGGAGAGGGGGTCCATTTCATAGGAGGTCATGGGTCAGATACTCCTTATTTCTGTTTGAAGCCAAAGATTTTTTTACATATAAATATCTTATTCCATTTTTTATTTTACTGTTGCCATAACATGTGTGTGGTGTAGGACAGTTTAAGTAGTAATATAACTAAAATGAAAGGAATATATTTATATAGTTCATTAAATATATTTTATTAGGTTTTCCATTGTGCATACATTAAAAATACTGTAATCTAGTTCTAAAATTTAGAAATGTATTAATGCTATTATATTAAACTCTTTAATAAGTTATGGTTCACTGTGGCAACTGTGAAAGGGATGCATTCAAGTGTATGAAAAGCATTTTTTTCAGAGTCAGTGATAGTTTAATATGCTGTGGAGACAGCCTGGACAAGACATCATTCAGTTTCAGGTGCTTATGGACTTATTGACACATTATGATTACAGTAAATGCAAACTTTCCATCTCTCCCCACATTAAGGCATTCTGAGCAGCTATTTCATATCCTCTTCAGAAGAGGAAAAATAAGTTGAGTAATATAAAGTTCTGAGAATAGTTGACATTGGCAGGGTTCTAGTGATGGAAAATGCAGTGGTGTCGTAGCTGTTGTAGAACACAGGAGTTGGAACTCTATTAAACCTCAACACATTTTAAATACTCTATTTTGCAGGGCATCCATCATGTTTGAAATTTTGTCCTGAGTTAACAGCAAATGTAAAGGCCTTAAGATGGCAGTGTATCGAATGCAAGACGTGCAGTGCATGTAGAATCCAAGGCAAAAATGCAGTAAGTTTAATATTTTAATAGCACAGTGTCTTTTGAGTTCGTGTTTGCATATTCACCCATATTCTGTGGGCTAGTCCCTTCAGCTTTACAATTTCAGGCTACTTTAAAAAGAGTAAAAATATAAGCCTCTATATAATGTAATAAGCTCTGTAATCACTGTTTTCAGTTTCTTTTTTTCTCTTACTGTCAGATTTAAAAATACAAAAAGTAGTGACGCAGAATCTCTAGTAACTTTGTATTAAGCCTTTTTTTCAATTTCAGGATAACATGCTCTTCTGTGATTCTTGCGATAGAGGGTTCCACATGGAATGCTGTGACCCACCACTTTCCCGAATGCCTAAAGGTGATACTGAAAACCTTTCTTGTACTAATGTATTAATTAGACCAGATGTTCAAGTGCCAGGTTAGACTTTCAGCATGTATAGATTGCTTGGCAGTATGGTCCTGAACATGAAAAGCAAAGCCTCTTGAGCTTGACTGTTCCTAAGATTCCTTCCTGCAAAGTGAATGACATTCCTATTGATCAATTTTATAACATGAGTTGAGTCACTGAACTATTTATTCAGAGTGAAGCTGTTGGGCAAGGCCATAGCTGACAACATATGGGATATACACACTAGAACATATCAGGGCACATGGAGAAAGCCTCCTTTGTGTCTTCCAGAGGATATCATTGTAAAAAGCCATTTGACAATCATGTGGTCAGAGTTCATCTCTTCTCTCAAAGGATCTCTTTCTCCATCTAGGATTATATGTACCGTATTTAATATCTCATTTTTTGTATCACTGCTGATCACTGGTTTTTCTTATATTTCATTATTAAAATTGCTCCAGATATAAAGTTTTTGTTAAATAATCAATAACTTTTTTCTTCAATAATCAATATTTTTGTATTCATCTTGGCCAAGTAAGGTTAGGTTGTTGTTAGCATATCAAAAATTTCATATTTTTGAAATTACAGCTAGATGTAATCTGGCCTTTTTTTTCAAGAGCCATTGACGTAGATGGGTTTGTAGTGCCTCCTTATATTTTGTAAAATGTATAAGCTGGTTAACATTTTGGAAGGGAGTTTAGAGAAGCTGAAAATAGATGTGAACATGGCAAAATTATATATTAAGCAGTGTTATAAAGTTTGGCCCCACCTACACTGGGAACAAAAGCATCCACTACTGTACAACCTTCTTTAACATAATTACTGTTGACAAGGTTCTAAAACAATTTGCCTTACCAAACAGTGCTAAAAGAAACCATGCTATAGTCTGCTGCCATTGTGTGTGACATGGTTTAGCCTCCTCCAGAAAATTTTTTGGGACAGTGGTTAGGAAAATCCTGCTACTGTTAATTGTTTCTAAGCTGTATCTCCTACCTAGGCTTCACCATCTACTCGTGCTTGCATCATCTAGCAGAACCATGTTACCTGAAATGGCTTTCAAGAACTATCTTGAGAACTATTTCAGGATCTTGGAATTGAACGGTATGGAAAAGGTCTAATGGGCACATAGGAAATGAGAAGTGGGGAATTTTTAGCACTGCAGCCAGTATAAAGTACACTGAGCATGTCTAGAACCTGGAAGCTCCAACTGAACACAAATGTTCTGAAAAGAACGAAATACTTTCAGAGAAGGAAGCAGGACTGGTGGGAATCAGCGGGGAGGGGGAAGATGACAGGTGCTACGGGAAGAAACCCAAGAGGGCAAGCTACAAAGGGTCTTGAGTCAGCAGGTTTCAGAAGGATAGCCACGTTAGTCTGTATCAGCAAAAACAACGAGGAGTCCTTGTGGCACCTTAGTGACTAACAAATTTATTTGGGCATAAGCTTTCGTGGGCTATAATCCATTTCATCAGATGCATGGAATGAAAAATACAGTAGGCGGGTATATATATTACAGCACATGAAAAGATGGGAGTTGCCTTACCAAGTGAGGGGTCAGTGCTAACGAGGCCAATTCAAACAGGGTGGATGTAGCTTATTCCCAACAATTGACAAGAAGAGGTGAATATCAACAGAGGGAAAATTACTTTTTGTAGTGCTAATGAGGGTGGATGTGGCCCATTCCCAGCAGTTGACAAGAAGGTGTGAGTATCAACAGAGGGAAAATTACTTTTTGTAGTGACCCAGCCACTCCCAGTCTTTATTCAAGCCTAATTTGATGGTGACAAGTTTGCAAATTAATTCCAGTTCTATTGGAAATTTCAATTTCTCGCTGAAGTCTTGTTCAAGACTGTTTTTGAAGTTTTTTTGGTTGAAGAATGGCCACTTTTAAGTCTGTTATTGAGTGTCTCAAAGCAGATTGCAACATAAGCTTGATAAGTGTTGAATTAAGGCATCTTGTTGTGCCCTCAGCAGAGGGATTTGTATGATGAGAAGCCTAATGATTGCGTTCTCTAGTGTTCTTCAGCCTCACATTGACTGATCCGGGAAACCTAAATGAGGGTAATTAACAATATGAAACTGAGGGTATGTCTACACCACCCAGGTTACTGCGCGGCCACGTGGGCAGTATAGACACGCTTTATCACCGGGGGAGAGCTCTCCTGGCAATTTAAAAAAAAAAACCACCGGGCCGGCGATAATGCTACCACCGCTCATTAGGGGGTGGGGTTTTTTTAATTGCTGGGAGAGCTCTCCCCAGCGATAAAGCGTGTCTATACTGATGCTTTTCCGTGCTAAAACTTTTGTCGCTCGTGGGGTGTTTTTTCACACCCCTGAACGACAAAAGTTTTAGCGCTGAAAGTGGCAGTGTAGACACAGCCTGAGAGAACATAGACACTGACGCTACAGTAAAACTCTTCACATACATCACTTCATTTTCAATTGAAAGCTTGGTCTAGTACAGGGGTCGGCAACGTTTGGCATGCGTCTCGCCAGGGTAAGCACCCTGACGGGCCGGGCCAGTTTATTTACCTGCTGACGCGGCAGGTTCGGCCGATCACGGCCCCCACTGGCCGCGGTTCACCGTCCCGGGCCAATGGGGGCGGTGAGAAGCCGCGGCCAGCACATCCCTCGCCCGCGCCGCTTCTCGCCGCCCCCATTGGCCTGGGACAGCGAACCGCGGCCAGGGGGGGCCGCGATCGGCCGAACCTGCCGCATCAGCAGGTAAATAAACTGGCCCGGCCCGCTAGGGTGCTTACCCTGGCGAGCCGCATGCCAAACGTTGCCGACCCCTGGTCTAGTACTTCCTGGATGGGGAGAGGTCTGGCAGTAGAAAGAGGGGACATGTTAGAATCCTTCTGCTAGTGCCACTCTCCCATGATCCTTGTTGCTATGGGAAGGGGAAAAGTGTCCTTCTGAATTATAGAGAGTTTCTCTTCCCTTCCCCCAACCATCCTTTTTGCTGGAGTAGAACTTGTTGGCATAATGCACCTGAGGTGTAGCTTTCTATACCTTGGGTACAAACTGGACACACACCATATGCATGTACAGTTAAAACAATTATGTTTTTTCTTAATCAATGCAGGGATGTGGATTTGCCAGGTCTGCAGACCAAAGAAGAAGGGAAGAAAGCTACTTCACGAGAAAGCTGCGCAAATAAGACGACGATATGCAAAACCTATTGGACGACCGAAAAATAAACTAAAGCAACGAATGTTGTAGGTTCCCTTTTTCCAATTGACTATAGTGTTCTTGAAAATGTAATACAGTGAGATTTTAGGTGACAGTTTATTTAAAATTAAACTACTGCTTTTGCTGAGTACTACAGCCTGAAAAAAAAATCACATGCGTAATCTTCAATGTAATGGAAAATAATTAAGTACAGTTGGTATTTCTGAGTCTTCTGATGGCAGCAAAAAGTTATCCTAAAAGTTTGCATCACTTTAAAAAGAATCACTGTTGGATCCAGGGAAGGAATTAGACTTAAATTCATATGTGAACAGTGCCATTTCCGAAATACAAGTGGCGCCAACAATCCTCAATAACAAATAGCCATATGATCGATTACTTTAAAAAAAATAAAAATCTATCATACCTGGGTTATCTGCACAATCCATATCAAATGGATGATACACCGATAAAGTGAAAAATGTAATTCACCTCACTCCAAAATATGTCTTGCAAAGTTTCCTCCAATTGATTTGTCACCTATTCAGGAGACTGTTCTGTGCTGAGTATTTATTTGCAAGAATATGCTATTTCAGAAATGCTGCTTGCCACCTCCTAATATTGGTATAAATTCCCTCTTAATAGGTATAAAATCCCTACCTACAACACAAGCTCCATAATGAGTCAGTGCTCAGTTCAAGCCCCAGAGGTATCCATGAGACCGAGCTATTGAGTCCAGAGTTACTTTGGAAAAATAACTTTGACCTTTGCTGCTGCTAAGTAGACGCCAGTCAGGAGGGGAGCGGGTTGCAGTTATTCATGCTTTTCTCCAGCCCATGGGATATTTAGTGTCTGAGAGAAGAGGAACCTGTAGCACCTTTGGCACCCACCTTCCCAGTGAATGTTTATGTAACTGAACACAGACTTGTTGGACATCTTAAAGCTGGAGGGAGGGCTGTTGTGGGTGGAGGAGCTACGTCTCTTGTCCTTTTCACCATCTTTTCATGCTCACACACAAGAGAAAACAGAGCAAAGCAAGAAACATCCATAGCATGGACTAAAAAGACATCCTAAAAAAAAAGCCAAAATTTAAAGCCATCTCATTGATTCATTTCATCAACTTTGCACTAAGAACATCTGTGGCAATCACTCATACATTTCTTGTTGCAAGAGTGAAGTTCACTGATGTATGCACACATCGATTGCCACATCTTGATACTATAGCATCAGCTTGCAAGGTCTAGAGCACATGAATTACTTTTTGCTCATCTAATAATGACAGTTACTATTTAGGAATTAGGTGCGAATGTTAAAAAGTAGATTGATTTGTAGCATCCTTTATGGGAGCCCAGTGACCTTCTGTCCAACATTGTGGTGTTAGAAGGAGAAGATGATTGTGCAGACACTGCTGCATAGTTAGAGTGAATAGATCTGGTTCTCCAGGATTGTTCTATTTTTTTGGCAACCGTATCAGTAGGTTTTAGGACCAAGTTCAGCAGATCTGGGATGATGATCACTCAGTTGACACCTCCATTTCACAATGAAGTTCCTCTGCCATCCCCTTTCTCCACTTCTTTATTGCTGTACTACCATGCTTCAGGTTGTACCCTGGATATCCCCACTACTGTGGCAAAATCAAAGAGAGAGGTGACCATCAGAGAGGCAGGTTGATGAGTTGGTAGCACATTGGGCCCAGCAGAGAAGCTGAGTCAAACTTTTGCATTAATGTTGAATGTGAGGAATGGGTTATTTGAATCTGCAAAGTGAGATGACAAGGATAGTAGCATGTCACTGTCCAACACATGTTCCTACCTTTGCCCCCGCATGTGCCCCTCAATGCTTTTCTCCAGTGCTATTCATTTGTACTTTTGTGGCTCTCATCACTGTACTGTAGGAGAGCTTCATAATCATTAATGAACTCTACTACTTGCCCCAGTCCTATGGCCCCTATCAAATTTTTCTCTACACACCTAAGACCGTCCTAAGGTTTCTTCACTCCACATTGTCAAAAATCTACTATTCACTGCCTAAAAACTTGGTTAATGAAGAGTTAAGGTTGACTGGCAGCATCTTATACTTTTCCAGAATGTCATATGCACCTATACTTAAACCTCTGAATGACTAACAAATAAAGAGTTACGGTAAAACAAACCCAAACCTTTGACAACTGGGATATATATTGTTAGAGGAAGTGTTCCACAAAACCTTAACCCTGCCCCCTTACATCACTGTGAGAGAGCATAGGACTGTACCCTTCCTGAGCAGCTGGAGGACAGTGTGAAAAGTGCACAAGAGTAATGTGATGGAAACTATTAGGTCGAGTGTAGGTCAGGTTTAGTAAACACAAATTAGCTAGGCATGACCTATATTCAACCACTTCACTTACTCTCAACAAACCATCAGAGTTGCCAGATTCTAACACCCGTTCATCCTTGTCCTAGCCAATCACCTTTACCTAGCCCTGACTGAGACTGGCAGTGCACTGTTGTGTGCCACCACGCTGCTAGACCTCCCTAGAGCAGTAGAGCAGGACAGAGAGGGCGCATGGTACTTGGTGAAAGCCAGTGCAGATAATGTGGAGTTCTAATGGGCACTGAGAATATGCAAGACAGTGTTAGAAATGGATGAAGCACTCTTATATTCCCCTGCCTTATTGCCACGCACAGTGGAATGCCAGTATTTGGAGGTGACAGTAGCAGTTGTTACAGCAGCCTTAAGAACTGAAGAAGAGCTCTGTGTAGCTCAAAAGCTTGTCTCTCTTACCAACAGAAGTTGGTCCAATAAAAGATATTACCTCACCCATCTTGTCTCTGTAATACCTGGGACTGACATGGATACAACAACATTGCAAACTAAAACTCTACAGACATTTTAACAACTGGTGTCTGCTCAGACCTCCTGTGTATCACAGAGAGAGAAAAAGAGAGAGAGATTCCTGATTCCTCTAGCATCAGCTGCACCTCTCCTCAAATGGCTGTGTGAGCTGTGGTGACTTGCTGCAACTAAGCTCTGGATCAGTGAGCTAGGAACCTAGCCCAGTGTCAGTAAGAACGTGTGAAGAGCAGTAACGATGTAGCATTGAGTTGGACAAAATTGAGCGCAGATTTTATTAGAGGTACGTCAGGTTTTGATTTGTTCCAGTGCCTATTGCTAATTGCAGGAGGGCAGCAGTACGGGAGTCATCACCTTAGATTTAAGTACAGGTGCATTTGATGTTCTGAAAGTGTATGAGGCACTACTGGCAACCTTAACTCTGCATTAACCAAGTTTTTGGCCCTTTGTTTTCGAAGTAGTGTTGGTAATGAAGGGGGCATCGAGGGGCACCTGTGTGGAGGAAAATGAGGGATTTTCCAGCTCTGCCCTCCCTCTGGCTTCTCCATGTCCCTGGTAGGGCTGGAGGAGCCCTGGGGAGAAATGAAGATATTAACCAGGGGACTGTGAGAAGCACACCAGCAAGGGAGTGGGGAGGGGAAACCCTAGACTCTCTACTTCACTTTGTGGATAAGTACAAGGGTAGGAGTTAAAAAAAAAAAAAAAAAAGGAAGAGCTATCTCAGCCTCACTGTAGTAGTGCTGCTGCCCCATTATCCTCCTCACTACCTAGTCCCTAGTGAGAAATTTGGTCCAAGTTTGGGATGCTGAAATCTGATCACCCAAGCATGGTGCATGTTGCGGTTGGCACCTGAGGGCCTTGATTTCACTTCCGCTAAAACAAAGTGGAAACATTTAGAATGGCATGTGGTACCACTCTTACCTTTAGCTATTTGGGTCATTGCACCACTACCGTATAATTAATACTACATTTAAAAATGGGCAAGTCCTCTGAAAGAGCTTGCATGATGGTTTTGACTATAAAAATCTCATTCCCCACTTGTGTCCAAGGATTCTTGGGTAATCCTGGTGACTGATTTGTAGGATTTGTCCAAGAATAAATTATTTCCCCGTTTTCTCAATTGTATGTATGTATTTCTGTCATTAAAACTAAAAAGAGTGTATGGTTTCCCATTGAACAATATTCCTTAAAAATGGGATTATATCTTAATTTACAAGGATGGGTAAGAAGACTAGAGAAGAATAATTCCCTAGATGGAATCTACTGCAGAAATAATCCCACTTTAAAAGCAGCATGAGGATATGGGAGGTAGCGAATCTAGCCATCTTTCGTATGGGGCTGGACCTTAATGTGCATAAAGTTGCTCAAGCTGCTTAGCCCTTTTGACATAATGTATGGAATCTTATCCGGTACTAGTGGAATAGCATTGCTTAAAAGGACCTCTGTATGGAAACCTGAACAGGCAAGTTACAGCAGGAGATTAAATAACACCAGATGCTTGTTAACCTCTGGGCACTGATGGTTATTGGCACATCTGGTACTGACAATAGGTGTTGTAGCTAGAAATATGAACTTCTGGCATCAACAGATTCAGAAGACTTTAGAAAAAAAGACATTATTTTTAAACACGATTGGGAATTGTAAGAGCTCTTCAGCTACCCAAATTCAGTGATGTGTGGGAGTGAAGCAGGGCCCAGTTTTATGGCTGGTGGGCTCTTGGAGTTCAGGTACCAGATGGTAGCCCCAGGCTGTTCCATCTCTAACTAAACGTAATCTGTTGGAATTAATTGTTTCAGCTTCACAATTAAGAAGGGAAAAATCTGTGGAAGGAAACCTTCCTCTGCAAAATACACAAATGTTTTAAATAAATGTAAGGATGCATTTGGGGGAGAGAAGAGGGAGTGGAATAATTTGATGTAATTATGCAGCTTTGTTTGGGTTTGCAGTATAACACTTCCTGATTACATGTATTTCTTTACTATGAATAACCTCGGCTGTTCAGTTTGTATTTACTTCAACAAAATACCATTCTTCAATATTCCCTTCAGTGTTCTGTCTTCTCATTCAGTCATTAGCCATCAGCTAAATCAGCATTTTTTTAATGCAAGCTTTGGCCTGGAGCACGCCCTCTGATCATTCTTAGTAAACTTCACCACTTCTCCTCAAGCTCTTCCATGTCATGCCTAACCCAGTTACGACTTTTCTTTGATCATTATTTTATTTATGCGTTTGCTGTTTCCCTCTATCGCTCTATTTTTTGCTTTAACTATACTTTTATTTTTTTAAATAGAGAGGTCGCTTTGTTAGCTGTATGGGTAGTGCTGTGCATAAAAACTACCTCATTCCGCCTTGAGTTTCATTTTTTTTAAAGGGATATTTTTATGGTCTTTTATTAAAAAAAAATACTAATTTCATCAGTGTAATCTAATAAAATCATACAAAAATATCAGTTTCCTGAAGATTGGCTGTATTATTTCCCCATACTGGTGGAACACCTCTGCTGTCTTTTAGTGAACATTCTGCTGAAATCAATAACATGGTTTGGTGTGCTGTGTATATTTTGTAGCACAGGACATGTGCATCTTCTGGATGTATGTTACAGATTTCACAGAAGTGAAGTGGTTGATGTGAACAAAACCAGTATATTAATAATTTTTCTCTCTCAAAAGAGAGAATATTTTTTCCTTAAAATATGTGTTGTGTATACTGAAGACTTTTCTATCCCACCCCCTTACTATTGGTACATGCTATGGACTACCCAGTGAAATCTGATAGGTATCAGCGGCTCACTTTCATTCAGGGAATCATGTGTCAGTAGTGCATAAGTATTTTTAAGGGTCACTGTTCCACTCTTGACTTTTAAGTGCAATGGCATATATGTTTTATGTAGAACTGTTTTGACAGCAGTTTTTGTAGTTTTTTTTAATACTGATTTTATTTTCCAAATTTTTGCATAGGTCTGTAACCAGTGATGAAGGATCCATGAATGCATTCACAGGAAGGGGGTCACCTGGTAGGGGTCAAAAGACTAAAGTCTGTACCACACCTTCATCTGGTCATGCTGCATCTGTGAAGGATTCAAGCAGCAGATTGCCTGTTACAGACCCCACTCGGCCTGGTGCCACCACCAAAATCACCACCACCTCCACCTACATATCTGCCTCTACACTTAAAGTTAACAAGAAAACCAAAGGGCTCATTGATGGCCTTACTAAGTTTTTTACACCATCACCCGATGGTCGCAGATCACGAGGTGAAATAATAGACTTTTCAAAGCACTATCGTCCAAGGAAAAAGGTCTCTCAGAAACAGTCATGCACTTCTCATGTGTTGGCTACAGGTACCACACAAAAGCTAAAACCTCCACCTTCTTCACTTCCACCCCAAACTCCCATCTCTGGTCAGAGCCCCAGTTCACAAAAATCCTGCACTTCCACCTCTTCTAACTCTCCCCAAAGTTCTTCCAGTCAGTCAAGTGCACCCTCCTTTAGCAGCCTTCCTAATAACAGTCAGCTAAAGGGACTCTTTGATGGACTTTCTCATATTTATACCACCCAGGGACAGTCTCGAAAAAAGGGACACCCGAGTTATGCACCACCCAAACGTATGCGTCGTAAACCAGAGTTATCTTCCACATCAAAATCTAATACCCATTTCTATGGAAAGAAAGAGATTAGAAGTAGGTTTATTTCTCATTCCTCCACCTCTGGATGGGGTGTGTCTAGAGGACGTGCTTTTAAAGCAATTGCTCACTTCAAGCGAACAACTTTCCTTAAAAAGCACAGGATTCTAGGCAGATTAAAGTATAAAGTGACCCCTCAGATGGGGACCCCCTCACCAGGGAAGGGGAGCTTGGCAGACGGAAGGATTAAACCTGATCAGGATGATGGTAAGCAAAGGTCAAAGCTCCAACCAAACCTGCGTCCCGTCCAAAACCAAAATTCTTATTTTGTCACATAGGTCTTAGCTATTTCTCTTATTCTTACTTCACTCTCATACAAAAGCAATGAAACTTTGACCTTTTACCTAATGCTGACTAAACCTCCAAAATGTTTTTTCTGACTAATACTATACCACCGTTTTATTATTATTTTTGCATCTGTAGTGGCACTAGGAGCCCCAAATGCCTTCATAACGTTGCTTATGGCTTTGTAGTACCGCATGAGTAGCCACTTTCATGCTACTTCCTTGTTCTTTCCCCTGCCCTTTCTCTGGCAGTAGTGCTGTCATTATGATTGTGTGCTGTCAGTGCTTATAATGATGGACATTTCAATTCTTCATTTCCCTCTGCTCCATTGCTTTTTCATGACCAATTCCATCCTGCTGCAGTTTCCACGACACTTGATCTGTACTGCTGTAAAATGTCCTTTTTCTGATTATTTTTATTTAAGTAAGAGGAAATATATTTATAATGTCTGAATGTACATTTAACATAGCACTGGTCTCCTAATTTTTTAAAAAGGTTTTTTGTTTAAACTAGCACTGAAGGGGACACAGATTTTTTTATTTTTATAGAGAGATAGCATTGGAGACTTAGTATACATTATACATATACTTAGTATCACCTTAACAGTTTCAGGAGGTTTGTGTTCAGAATTCATGTAGTACAGTTGAACTAGCCTATAAAGGCGTACAAGAGATACGCAAGAAAATACTGAAAATAGCTCCTGCAGCTGCAATTTTAAAAACTAGAGAGGGAGGTGGGGCATAGTTGCTATAACAGGTATAAAGGATTCCAAATCTAAACTAGAATGGGAGTTTCTAAGAGCCGTCACTGCCTGCAGTGCTATTTAGGAGTACCACACAGGAACTGTAAGGCATGTGGTCTTCATGTCTGTGAATAAACCTTCTGCTGGTTTTAAATAACAGATACAGAAATCAAAATAAGCATCAAACAAGAAAATACAGATGTAATTCTGGTGGGGAGCAAGGAAATTGTTACAGAGGAGGATGTGGAAGTTTTTAAGCAGGCTCGGGAACTTTCTCTGGAGGTAAGACTGACTGAAAATCATTTCAGTAATGAAGCATGTTGTGGTCAATTCAATTACCTTTATAAATTAACATTGAATTATTTTTCCAATGTTCATTCGGCCTCATGGTATTTTTGATATGCTCCTTTGACCTAGTGTTTCATACTTGATGAATGTCTAGTGGAGATGTTCTGTATACAGTAGTATTCCCTTAGACTGGAGCCCTATCATCCCGGTGGAGTGAACCAGATGAGTGACACTTGTGGATTTTAGATATCTGGCTCCTGTTCGCTAGACAAGAAATCAAAGGCTAAAATCCTGATCAGCCCTTTGAAAATGTAGGTGTTGGTAACTAGGAGGTATGCATTTATACCCTTTCCCCCCCCCCCCCTCTATGCAGAAAGCAGGCACTATGAAAAGCCACCAGATAATCTGTGTCCTGTCACTCTTCTATAAGAAATGCAAAACTGGATTTTATGATCAGTATATAACTTCACTGCTTTATGTTTGCCCAGTTATTTTAATAGTCTATAAGATTATTATGGTCATTGAAATGTTTGAGCTGGATCTGCCTAAAACTATTGCACCAGCTGGTGCTATAATGCTCTCTTTTTTAGTATGTGTTATAAATATATACCCTGCTGAGGCTGTATTTCTTCCCTTGCTCCTTGTACACTTGGCTGAGAGAGCCCCCGACGTATAAACTGGATTTCCCTCTAGCAAAAAGGGCTTTTACTTTCCTGTGCCAGTGTGAAAAGGACAAGATTTTTTCTTTGAACCTCATTGTGGAAGGTGCTATTCACAGGTGGAGCTCAAGGAGACAGGCAAAAACTGCATCTCTGAGAGTATGGGATGGAGGGTGAACATAACAACACCCACTACTACCATTTTTTCCAGGGTTGTGTCCGAATCTAGACTTGTGATCTCCTGTGCAAGCCCTCGTCCAACCCCTCAGTCTTTTTTAAGGGAGTCTAGCTTGGCTTTTAGTAATAAACTTCCCCTTGTAGGCCAGAAGTGCAAATACTGAGAATATGTCTGGTATAGACACACAGTGTAAGTTAGGGACAATCTCAGCCCTAAGTGTTTCGGCCTAGTTTGAGATTGGCTATTGAGGTTTTTACCTCTTAGTTTGCTGCTAGCTACTTCTCTTTATAAATAAATTCTCATCCCTCTCCCACAGGTCAGAGTATATTCTGTTGGCTTTATTTGATTAAGGTAACCTCCCCACACACACACACACACAGTCCCCATTTAACCTCCTCTGTGGACACTAGAGGTCATTGTCCTAGCAAGTGGACTACTGTCATCTCAGCTAAAGTTAACTTATTTTAACACCCTGTTGGCACTGGAGGTTGCAAATTGAACCCTCGGTACCCACAGCGCCTGCTTGAAGGAGGGGTAAGCCCACTTCTGGGGTAAAGCAGGTGCTCCCAATGTCACCATCCTTCTTCATTTGGTTCTGCTGGGAAGGGCCTCTTGGAATTTGAGCCAGGACTCCAGACAAGCTCTGCCAACTGCCTGTGAGATTTACTGAATCAGGAAACCTGTTTAGCTGGGCCCAGCCTCTGCCAGCCCTGCCTGTTTTGTGGGCAGCATCATCCAGCGCCAAGCCCTCCAATGGAATGGAGCTTACAGCCAGATTTTACTGCTGCACTCCAATCCTGCCAGGCTTTCTGCAGCCTGGGTTCTAGCCCCACATTTGACCATTTCCAGAGACTTCTAACAACTAATCATGTCAGAGAAACTTGAAGGTTTTCTAATCTTAACCAAATGAAAATGAAGATGTGAATTGACCCTCCTCTCATTCCTTATAACTGAAACATTTTGCTTTTGTTACACCTGACAGAAAATTGGATGTAAAAACAGCAGTGAAACAAATGGCCGGTACCCTTCAGTGATAGAATTCGGGAAGTATGAGATCCAGACCTGGTACTCTTCACCTTATCCGCAGGAATATGCAAGGTAATAGAGTGGTCAAGATTACTGTTTCTTTTTATGTGATGGTGAGGATGGGGGCTTCATCCTGTTCTTTTGTTTCACAGTATTTCAGCTGAGATTAAATTTGACTAACACATTGAGGCAGCACCCAAAACTATTACTTCTACAGCACTTCTTTTGCAGTCTTTGTACAAGTTCCTAGTTGTCCCTTTATTGCAAACATGCTGTAAATCCTGCCTTTATTCCCCCAAGCTGGTATTTCCCTCTTCCACTGAGAATGAGGTGTGTATTGTGAACAGAATATACTGAAATCAAGGGAACAGAAGTATACTGGATTAGACCAGTTTCATTTTATTAACTAGAGGACTTTCCAGTGGCAACAGCCTACTTCACTTATTTGTATACTTTCCTCAATTCTGCCAAACTGGGGACTGAGCAACCAGCTACAGGGAGCAACAAGGAGGCTGAGGTGATAGCGGGTAGTACATTAGTATGAACCAACAGTGTGATATGGCATCTAAAATGGGCATTGTGATTCTTGGCTGCACTTGCAAAAGGCATTATATTATGGAATGGAGAATTGATAATGCCTCTTTATGGTGATGGAGGCAGTTCTCCCTAGAATAGGTGCAGTTTTAGGCACCAAATTACCAAAAAGATGCAGATATAGGGGAAAAAAATATACATGATTAAAAGTTTCAGGGATGATTTTCCAGGAAAGATTAAGAAATAAATGTCTATAGGTTGGCGAAATGATGATGGAGATGTGGACATAAGTGCCTACAAATACTTGAAGGAAGTAAATCATTATAACCACCTATATACAGTCCCAGGACATGCTAGTTGCTTTTAGAGCACATGTAAATTGGCCTCTGCTCCAAAGATATTATAATATAATTAGTTTATGCAACAGTGTCCTTCTGTTTCTGTAGTTTCAAAATGAGGATAAACCTAGTGCTAGAAAATTTACTGCAGGGATTTACTGTTCTGGCAGTGTGAGTGCAGGGGACTGGACTAGATGACCTCTCGAGGCCCCTTCCAGTCCTAAGATTCTATGAAACTAGGTGATCTAGTTGGTCTTCTCTTTCTCTAATTTCTGTGATTTGGTGAGGCAGCTAATGACAGTCCAGGCCATGGATCAGCCAAGATGAGGCATTCTTCACTTCTGACTCAGCTGAATCAACTCTACTATGTAATAAAACCTCTCATCTCATTTAGGAGAAAATCACTTACATGAATCTCTGTGCATTACTTTCAAATAATGCATGCCTGTTTTAATCTTCCCTCTGTGGTGCATATTTGGCACACACAGAAATACAGTTTAATTCAAGTCTGTTCAAATATTTTTAAGATGGGTGGAGAGGGAGAACGTGATTTTTGGTCACAGAGTTTATAACTGTAACAGCACTCTAAAACTCTTCATGCTTTTTATACTTCAACAGACTATCAAAGCTTTACCTGTGTGAATTCTGTCTTAAATATATGAAAAGTAAAAACATTTTGCTAAGACACTCAAAGAAGTGTGGTTGGTTCCATCCTCCAGCCAATGAAATCTACAGAAGAAATGATCTTTCAGTATTTGAGGTAGGTATATTAAAATCCAGATTGTTTAAAAAAGAAAAACTTACATGTATTTGTTGATTATATACCAGTTGAAGGCCACAGTAGAAAAAGATAAAACTGTATTACAGTAGAACCTCAGAGTTACGAACACCAGAGTTACAAACTGACCGGTTAACCAGACCACCTCATTTGGAACTGGAAGTACACAATCAGGCAGCAGCAGAGACCCCCCCACTCAAAAAAGGCAAATACAGTACAGTGTTAAATGTATAAAATACTAAAAAATAAATTAAAGGGAAAGCAACATTTTTTCTTCTGTATAGTAAAGTTTCAAAGCTGTATTAAGTTAATGTTCAGCTGTAAACTTTTGAAAGAACAACCATACCTTTGAACTTTTGTTCAAAGTTACAAACATTTCAGAGTTACGAACAACCTCCATTCCCGAGGTGTTCATAACTGTGAGGTTCTACTGTAAATATTTTCCCACTAATATTCATATTGTACTCAAAAAATAAATCTCCTCTTTCACTTTTCCCCACCTTTTATATCCCGTGTACTGATAAGTTATGTAGAATTTAAGAGCTTTCTAGCCTTCTGGTGCAGCATGCTTTTAGATGTATGTTGAAACTATATCTTCCAACTACATGTTCTTTTACTTCTGATCAGATGATAAGGGCACCCTTCTTTTTTCATTTCTACCCATTACATAAGAACAGTCATACTGGATCAGATCACTGGTCCATCTAGCCCAGCATCCTGTCTCTTGACAGTGGCCAATGCATGATGCTTTGGGGAATGAACAAGTGGGACAATTTTGATTGATTCATCCCTGGTCGTCCAGTCCCAACTTCTGACAGTCAGAGGTTTAGGGACATCCAGATCATGGGATTGCTCCACAACCATCTTGGCTATTAGCCACTGATTAACCTATTCTCCATGAATTTATCTAATTCTTTTTTGGACCCAGTTATATTTTTGGCCTTCACAACTTCCCATGGCAATGAGTTCCACAGGTTGACCGTGTGTTGTGTGAAGAAATACTTCCTTATGTTAGTTTTAAACCCAGTGCCTATTAATTCCATTGGTTGTCCCCTAGTTCTTGTGTTATGTGAAGGGATAAATAACACTTCCCTGTTCACTTTCTCCACACCATTCATGGTTCATGATTTTATAGACTTTTTATAGACATTCAGTTGTGACACTGATTATTTGGAGAAGGAAGAGAACAATGAGCATGACCATTGACTGTATAGGAAATGCAAAGGTAAAAGTTTTCTGCATGGTTGATTTAGGACTCCAGGAGAGAGATCACTTGATCATTACCTGTTAGGTTCACTCCCTCTGGGACACCTGGCATTGGTCACTGTTGGCAGACAGGATACTGGGCTGAATGGATCTTTGGTCTGACCCAGTATGGCCATTCTTATGTTCTTATGTTCAGAAGTTAAATTTTGAAACTAAAGTTATTCCCCCTACAGACAGTCTGAGAAATATCTCCTGAGGCATTCTGCCAGGGTGTGTTGGGTCCCAGGCTGAACCTGTTAGCTATCTGTATTACTTTCACAGCCTGTTACAAGTCGGGTCAAGGTAAACTGCCTTTAATTTAATTAGTTCAGAAATTAAACCAAATAGAATATAATTCTTTGGGACATTTTGGAGCTAATCTCTTAAGGACTTTTGACCACATTGCTCGGTTGTGAAAAGACCCTTGAGTTTAACTAATGAGTATTCTTTATCATGGCTTCAAGTGTCATTGCTGCACTCAATTACCCTAACCTACTTACTCATATTTCTTAAGCGCCAGTACTAATACTACTAGCAGAAAAGACTTCCAGGGTCTTAGGACCATCTTAATTCTCTCAGAAGAATGGCACAAGTATTTCTGACTATCAATACTGAAAAGTAATTCTGAATTTTAAAAAATGCCACTACCTAGCACTTTCATATTGTGTAAATATATTTGTTACCCCTGCAGGTATGCTTGTCTATTCCATGTCTTGAAATACTGATATATAATCTGGTGGAGTCCCCATGCAACTGAACCAAACCTTAACACTTGTTCTAGTCATTCAGAGATTTCATCTTCTTAACTAAAAGAAAATTCTGAATTAAAACTGCACCAACCCCAGCCAATGGCGACTCATGTGGGGGGCCCAAAGGGTCACATGACCCTCCCCAAAATGCTGGGGGGGGGAGGGGAGCAAGGCCAGCAGCCGGGAAGATGAAGGGGCACGGCCAGAACCAGAAGGGAAGAGGTGGGGCCAGAGCCTCTCCTCTTCCGGCCATGCTGCCTGGTGCAGCACGCAGCGGCTACACTCTCCCAGGCAGCCTTCAGCCATGCTGCCTACAGCCCAGGCAGGCAGCATGGCTAGAGGCTGCAGGGGAGAGTGCATTAGTGGCTCCACACATGCCAGGGGGACAGGAGCAGAGTGTGGGGCTCCCGGGCTGGGGGTGGGGATGAGTTACGTGGGGGGGTCACGGGAGCGGGGCAGGGAAGAGTCACGGGGGTCACGTGCCACCCTTTAGCTGGTGCCCCCTTTGTGTTCCTCCTACTAGTCGCTCATTTCCCTCAGCCTACATTTTTTTCCTCCCAGATATTTCTGCTCCTATGGTTTTCCCATGACACGGGTGAGCGACACCCTAGTTCTCTCATCCAGAGAGTTACTCCCACCTTCCTTAAACTTTCCCAGAGTATAAAAAGCCGCACTTTTCCCAGTGAGTCACCACTGAACATGATTAACCTGTTCCTCTCTACTGGATTCGTCTAATACCTGCTAATACAGAGTAGGGCAACAGGTGAATCTGCCACTATGTTAGTGTTATTCTGTGAGCTGCCATCAATCCATACATCAAAACTTATTCAGTCCTTCATTTTTCTTTTTTTTAAGCATTCTTAAGGGTCTCTCAAAAAGAGTCATGGAAGAGAGAATATTTTGTGGAAGGAAAATCTGGATTCATCAGATGGCCCTTTTTTCCTTCTGTACTTGAGACACTTGGATAGGATTACTGAGACTCTTGAAGACTAACTTTTTCAGTTTGGTTGAAGTGTTGGCTGGGGCCATTACTTCTAATTTTGATAGCAGCAGAAACTCAATGAGGAGTTGATAGAAATTCTGCAGACTTCCAACAAGATAAAGTGACTGCACCCATTCATTCCCTGCGTGACAGGACAGAGAAGGGGATAGGCTCTTATTCTCCTTCTGTTTCTCCAAGGAGCAGAAAATGCCCCAGGGCATCTTATGTTTATGTATGCCTTCCTTCCAGTGCAAAACTTTGACAGATCTAAGAGGAGACTTATTGTCATAATTTATTACTCCATTCTAGTCTAGCAAACATTGGTGTCTGAGATTGTAGTCCATTTTTCCCCATTGAACTGCTGAACAAGCTGGTCTTATCAGAAAGTTACGGAATGCCTTTCCATCTTCACATGAATGCTCTTTCACAAAATAGCGTATAGAATGTTTTAAAGGATTGTCTGTTTCTAGGAATTTTTTTTAATATCAAGGAAGTCTTCCATTGAAACAACATAACAATTGGACACTTCCTCTTTTAGGAGAGTTGAAAAACAAAATCCAATATTCATTGCCAACATTTTTAGAGGAACTGAAATGTCTTTAGTTAACCATTACAAGTTTTTTAAAATCTAATTAAGGCTGACTTTATCATTTGTTTTTATTACTTGTTTGCATGTGTGTAAAAAAACAAAAAGAATCCCCAGTTTCGTACAAGGGAGTCAGTTGCATGAGTGTGCTTAAAATACTTCTGAAATTGTTAGGTACTATGTGTGAGATTATACATAAGTATTTCAGAGCAGTAGCCGTGTTAGTCTGTATCAGCAAAAAGAACGAGGAGTACTTGTGGCACCTTAGAGACTAACAAATTTATTTGAGCATAAGCTTTCGTGGGCTAAAACCCACTTCATCGGATGCATGCAGTGGAAAATACA